TGTACTAATTTTAACTTTTATCTCATTTGTTTATCCAAGTTTCTTCAACGGTAACGAATCCACATATATAAAAATAATGTATTGTCACATGCGTGCATGCATGTGCGCACACAGACACATGTGTGTACATGCTGGGTGTATAACACTTTTCTTTTTTTTCTCTCCATAATAGTCCACAACATAGATTTAGGCAAATAAGATGTGATAATTTGTCTTAAATTATTTTCAGCTCAAAGATATTTATCAATAAGAATAGCAATTTTGTAATTGCTTTATACTTGTAAAATCTTAAAAACGTAACAGGTGGTGCCATTTTTAGACAACATCGTTAAATTTGTCTATTATAATAGCTTTCCCCAATGGTACCTAGACTTTATAAATTTAAGGCCAGTACTACATTAGCAGCTAGGTTTCATTTTACAGTTGAAAGGGCTAGATGCAACCATAAGTTCTATGCTAACATTTTCTTTTCTCGCTTGTGGAACTCTCTTGATTGTCAAAAATTTAAACGCAATGTCAATCATTATCAACTGTCTTCTTGATTCCTCTTCTTTTATTGTTCTTATTCCTTAATAATGTTTTTCTTTTTCTCATTCTCTCACACTCAGTAGCTCCTTGTTTCTTAGTGGCTTTATTGCCATGCTTGGGATGAAATGATTAAACAAATATATATATATAAGCACATATATTAATTTGTTTGTAGTTACAAATCTAAGAGATGCATGACTTTACCCAAATAATCCACTTAAACAATGAATATTTTTATTTTTGTAACAAAAATTCCTCGTTGCTTGTCAGGGCAAAGGAATCTAACGTAAAGATCCTGATGTGATTATGGAATGTCTAATGTGTAATCTTGAAAATAACTGTTCTTATTGTTAAACAAAGTGCAGCAATTTTGAAAGTTCAGTTTTTATTGATACTGGAAAAATATCTGACTTAGTCCATTGCTCTAGGAAGTACCTGACTGCTTCTGCCAGGCTTTACCTTTACCAGAACTTGATCAGACCAAAACTAGAGTATTGCTTCTGTATCTTGGCTGGTGCTGTCCAACCCTCATTTTCCAACCTTGACAGTGTTTAAAATCAATTACATGGCATTGTGGAGTGGGGAGACGTTCTCCACTCTGCAGTCTCTTTCCCTCAGATTCAATGAGTCTATTGCTACTCTATTACCATTTTTATAGGAAATGTTCAAATGAGCCCCACTCTTTAGTGCCACTAGTTCAGACCTTTACAGCTAGGGCACCCATTCTACTACCATAGAGTCGAATCACCCGCATTTCTCCTGTATTTCAAATCTAAAGCAAAAGCTCTACTTAGTCTGTTCTACATACAGATTTTTCCCCAAGAACTACTATCGCATGTATGTTTTCCTGATCACAACAATCTTAACCTCTTCAAGTTAAGAGTCAATCATCATCTATCTTCATAATCTCTACTTCCTACCAACTCCTCATTCATTCCTATCACATGGGTAACCCTCTACCTTGAGAGTCTCTTGTTTTTATATTGGGTGGATTTTAGTGTAAAAGAATTATTTTGCTGTAGAAATGGTTTCTATTCATTGATCAAAGGATGCTCAATGAAGTAATGATTAGCAGCTCGGATTGAGGAATTGGAGTGCCGAGTTTGAATTCCAGTCAAGTTCATTACATTCACTTACATGCTAATACCCTTGGGAAAGCTATGAATCCATCTCTTCCCTCCCCTATCTATGGTTAAAATAGCAGGACAGACTGAGTCCTATAGTCTTAGGTGGCAACCAGTCTAGGAGAAGGAAAACTTTGAATTCAAAACCACCTGCTGCCTTGTAGGCCTTGCCTCTTTTGGCAAAGGCCAGAAGATAACTTTAAAAACAAATCCACCTGAATATCCCTGGTGCAAAAAGAACCAGCAAACCATTGTACTATTCTGTCTTGAATGTCACCATGAACAACAATTGTGAGATGGAGGAGAGTGATAATTACAGCAATGCAAAATGTACTAACTGAATAAAATGATGAAATGATGATCAAAGGGCAAAAATATTCAAAACTAGAAGCCATAGCCAGCTGGTCAATCAAAAAAAGTGGTCAATTAGAATGGAGTAAAAACAGCATCATATTTAGATGTAACAGAGTCCTCCTTCTTAAATTACATTACTCTCATTAAAAATAATTTTGAATTAATGCAGTTATTGATATAACAGGCATAGTCTTTATTTATTCAATCAAAGTTAGCTGAGGACATGAAGGAGTAAAACAGGCAACAGGAAGAAACATTTCAGACAACAATTATTTTCGAGTTTTTGAAATTCAATTTGTCAGTGTGCTACCAGGGATGGAAAAGAGGATACATTTATAAAGCAATTGTTAAGTTTGATGAAAATTGGTTGAAAGATCAACGAAAAATAAGTAAGAAACCAGTAAAAATCACCATTTTTCGCTATTTACATGGGTTTTCACTATATGGGTGAACTCAGTTATCAAGTTAAATGACTGTTAAACAATCAACTTATTGTTGGCTACAACTGAGTGAGGTTTGTATTAGATTGCTTGAAAATTGAGGGAGTTTTTAGTTTAAAATTTGTGTTGAAATCGATTTTTCTTTTTTTGCATTTTTTTGCTAAACACAGTGGTGTAGAAATAAAAATGAAGTATTGTTGACCTCACCATGATGTAAGTAATCTACATATAGAGTTTGAACGAAATCGGTGGAAAAAAGTTGAATTTATGGATTTTTGGCTGACTTTATCGATTATTGATTTTTTTTAAAAATTGATATTTTTATGGTAAGAACCTGCTTCTTAGATTGTACAATGTATGTGCGAAGTTTGGTCAAAATCAGTTGGATGGATTTCGAGTAGTAAAATATCACACAGACAAACACTGTGTGTGTGTGTGTGTATATATATATATATATATATATATAGACACACACACACACACACATATATATATATATATATATATATATATATATATATATATATATATATATATATGAGAGAGAGAGTGAGATGTCTTGTAAAAAGGTTTTGAAGAAAATATGAAAATAATTTTCTGGTAAACATACTTGTTAAGGCATGTTGCCATTTTGCATTTCCCAGCATCTAAGCTAAATCTGATCATTTCGGAGTATCAATAGAATTTGAAGATTTTCAGAAAACTTATGAAACTAGTTTGGCACAAGTTTTAGAATCTAAAAATTAAGATCATTCCAAGACATAAAATACAGAGGAAATTCTTCACTAAAGAGTTCTAAAAAAAAAAAAAAAGTACAAATAAAAAAAATTTTCTTCATTTCTGTCAAATTTCTGAGAATTGGTGGCCCGATTATTAAGCAATGATTCTTTTAGTATTATTTTCTCATTTGTATTTTTCTCCTGCCATTTTGACAGCTCTAACCTTCAGCCTTCTCAAGTGCTTGTTGCACTCACTAACCTTTATGTAATTTTTTTTTGCTGAATTAATATTTCAATGGCCTATATTTTTAACATAAGTAAATGATTTATGATTCATTACATTTTTGTAGAATCAATTCATGTATTTTAAATTTTTGTTTAGATCTTTTAACAAATATTTACAACATCTTAAAAATTCTATAAAAATATAAGGTCTGTCCAGAAAATATCCTGAGGCACAGTGGAGTAATGGATAGCAATTCAGATTGAGGAATCGGAGAGCCGAGTTCAAATTCCACTCAAATTCATTACATTCACTTATGTGCTAATACCCTTGAGAAAGGTATGAATTCTCTTCTCCTCTCAGCTATGGATAAATAGCAAGACAGTCCGGGTTCTATAGTCATGGATGGCAACTGGTCTACAGCAGAAAGAAATGACAGCCTACTGGGTAAAGAAAAAATCTGCCTCGTCAGTCATGTATCGAAAGATACAGGATCACCTAAGCATGTATCGCGCATTGGCACATAATTGACTGAGGAAGGAAGGAAGGAAGGAAAAGAAAAGTAAATAAAAGAGATAAGAAATGAAAATATGAAGAGGAAAAGAAAAAAGAATGAAATAAATGGAAATAAATAAAGGAGAAAAAAGAATGAAAGAAAGTAAGTAGAGAGCCGAGTTTGAATTCCAGTCGAATCGATTACATTCACTTATGTACTAATACCCTTGGGAAAGGTATGAATTCTCTTCTCCCCCCAGCTATGTGTAAATAGCAGGACAGACTAGGTTCTATAGCCTTGGATGGCAACTGGTCTACTGCAGAAAAAAATGGCAACCTACTGCAGGGAAAAAATCTGCCTCGTCAGTCATGTATGGAAAGATACATGATCACCTAAGCATGTATCACGCATTGGCACATAATTGACTGTATGACCAATTCAATCAGAAATGGAATTGAAGGAGCTTGGGTTTTATGTGACTGTTCTTTTCAAAATGAATATGCAGAATATTTTACTTGAAATTTGGACATTTATCTGCAGAAATATTTTGGATGGTTAAGAAAACTTTTGAGGAAGATCCAATGTGCGAAGGATGGATTAAAGTTTTTGTAACGAACTTTGCTAGAAATCCATTGGAAGTGATCCATGATCTGGAAGGCCTTCAATAAGTAAAACATGCAAAAATGTTGATTACAGCTTGTGTGCAGTCAAAGGAAGTCAGCATTTAGTAGCCTGAGAATTTAAAGAAGATCTATGGATTGCATGAAATTATTCAGCCATTTTGTATAGCTTAATTGCTGAAAGCTAAAATAATCAATCCTGCCTATTCCTCACATTCCAGGCTTCGGGAAGTTCTAAATCATTTATGTAGTCTAGTGGGGGGGGGATCTATTTTTAATTCTGTAGCCTCTTACCCGCAAATACACTATTGCAAGTCTAACACTACTTTATTGCTATTCCCATGGTAAATGCTAAGATGAGCTACACCAGTTCAGACTTTTACAGTTAGAACACACCCTGCTATTTACATGGGGTCATATCACCACATTTACTGTATTCCATTTGTAAGGAAGAAGTTTCACTCAGCTAAGAACTGTTACTTTGTGGAACAAGACTTACGGTCACATCTTGTTGAAATACCAGTTCCCATACAATCATTAAAGTTAAGCAACATTGAACCTGGTCAGTACATAGATGGGTGACCACTTAAAAAGACCAGGTGCTGTAAGCTTGGGTGTTTGGGTGGTGTAATGGATAATGGCTCGGAATTGTTAATCAGAGAGCCAAGTTCCAATTCCAGTTGGGTTCATTCATTACAGATTGGGAAAGATATGAATCCACCTCTTTCTCCCCAGCTATGGGTTAATTAGACTTGTATCACTAAATCATTATCTCAAAAAAAATTCTTAAACTCTAAAAATTGAAAGGGTTGATAAGCTGGAGAAAATAAAATAATCATTTGTGGAATGCTACCCTGAGCATTACAATCTTAGCTTCTTCAACTCAAGTCACTATCTATCTTCCTTATCCTCAGGATCTTCACCTCTTTCTACTTCCTCTTACAGTCATATCACACACACACACACACACATTTGTAACCCTCTTCCATGAGTGGGCCCAGGACCCTGCATTTAGTGAAACTTAAAAGGAAATTTAAGACATTGGATGAAATTAAGAATATTAAGTGGCATTTGTTTATGATCCTGAAAGACTTTTGGAAATTGGAAGATTAAATGCTCTTCAGACAGACCTCATAATTTGAAGAAATTCATGAATTCCTATGATACTTTATTTCTTAAATATAAACCAATTAATTTACATACAGTTAATACTTTCTTCTATGTACCCTGACCCTTCAGGATGTAGACAATCATGGTTCTCCACGACTTCCTGTCTTTTGTAACCCTTAACAAAAAAAAATTTCTTTTACTATCTCGTAATCCTTGTTCTGCCAACACAAGTTCATTAGGTAGGTTATTCATTGTTTTCCTCAGTCTGTCTTACATTCAATATGTCCTATGAGTGTCAAATTCCCAAAGCCTTCTTTCCTCATTATATGCCCTAGAAATTTTAACTGCCTCTTTTTGATTCTAAGTATAAATGTCCTTTTTGCTTCCATTTTTCCTAAAATTTTATTGTTGCTCACATGTTCAGTCTGTGGTATTCTCAGCATCTTTCTGTAGAACCACATTTTTGTTGTCTGAAATCTCCTTTTCAGCTGTGAGGAGATTGCCCTGCATTCGTTTGAGGACTAAAAACAGTGTAGGACTCTTTTTTTCTTTGTTTCTAACAAAATTTTCCAGTTTCTTAATGCTTTGCTTAGCTTTTGTTTCTAATTCCTTTGTACAATATTATGTGCCATACCTTGGCATTGTTTGCTGTCTCCTTTTTATCAAGTTGAGAATTTCATCTATTCTTTTTCTTCATTGTATAGTTTTCTTTAGGATGATCTCATTTGCTGATGTTACTAAAACTTTTCTTAATGTGTCCCAGTTCAAATTTCAATTCTCATTTAGTTCATTGTATCGGCTTTTAAGACTGCCCATGTACATCTTTGAATTATTTAGGCATATATCATATTGCACTTTGGATGCTGCCATGGCCCACTTCAATTTCTGTAGTTTCATTTTATGGTTACTAATGTAATGAATATGCATACACCTGGTTTGCCCCTCACAGTAATATGATTGGCTGGTGTCAGCCATAAATGCAGACTGATGTGGACATACAGGGACTACGCCTATGGGCTACACCTATTGCCTACGCCTATTGCCTACCACTACGACGAGGACCAGTCCATTACAGTTACCTGCTAGATTATCCTACCCAGTTACAGTAGTCAATAACCACTTTGCTACTTCAAACAAATATATCCCTTTCCGGGACATATCAGTTACATATCACTGGAAGATAGTCACTCCCACAGTCAGCACTTTTGTTCTTGAATTTCTTATTGATCATTATGCAGTCAATTTGTAATTTCTCAACCTGGGCTTCTCCATGTTCATAAACATCTTCAGGAAATACTAGATGTCTGACTTGAATTAAATGCCCATCAGGAACCTTGATTTAAAGAGTTGATCTGTGGTGATCTCAATATATACTGGGTTCATCATAAGAGATACCAAAGTAATTTCCGTACTTGGTGACACTTCTGAAAATCAAAAATATGAGCCCTTGCGTTGACCTAAAAGGTGGCCTCAAAGCTATGAAGTCTAGAATTGTCTGCAAATGATGTCAATGGGTACACCAATATAAACAGGAAGTGAATCCAACTGAAATTAGTGATTTTCTAAGCACTACTTAGATGTGGCACAAGGCCTGAAGTATGGAGCACTCAGTGAGGATCGAACTCACTACTCGGCCGTAATTGTTCTAGCGAGACAAGCTTGCTAACCATTACACCACGCCGAGATGCCCAAATCCAGCTGAAATTATGATACACATGCACAAGACAACCAGATAACAGGAAGTTACATAAAATGTCCAACCTATGAGGAGAGAAGTGGAATCCTTCACATCCTCGCAAGAAGATCAAATGTTTTAAGAAAGACTCAAAACCACATACCCTTGATTTGGCTGATATTAATTTGATGGAATTCGGAAGTGAATAAATATTTAATGTATGGAAAATTTAATTGTATATTATATAGGTGTGATTAAAAAAAACTCGAATGTTGAGTCATTTGGTCAGATTTTAGGAATTTTTTGGATTTTGTATTTAATGAGTTTTTTTTTATACGAGTTTACTTTGGTGACGCTCATTCGAGATCAAGTGACAGCCAAACACTTCCGCACTCTATTTGGTATTTTATTTGATTTTTAGTCACACTAGTATCTTGAAGATTTTAATTTTATCTGGGATTTCCAACTTTGGGACTTATAATATAAATTTGGTTTATTATTATTTTACCAAGGTCTTGATGCTTTTTCTATTTTTCACCTTTCATTTTACTCTGTGCAAACAATAACAGCTTCTACTGCTTTTTTTCCATATTGACAATGAGTAGATCTTGTCTGGATTGGCGGATCCATTTGAATCTAATCAATTTTACAATGAGCACATTAATCTCCACAATTATTTTTGCCATTCTTCAATTCTGAAATCTTTTTTTTGTCTGTTGAATTTAGATTAAATCCTTCCACATCTAAATTTTCTGACCAAATCTTTTATTCGTTACACACAATTATCAGAAATTTCTTCTTTGTCAGATAAGAATTTTGCTTTTCCAACTTGTGACCCTGTCGTGCTTTTGCCCTCTGACATAGCTTGTTCTAACTTGATCTATTTTCTGTTGATATATGTAGTATTTTTACCATTCTCATCTTCACCCCTGCCAATTCTGCTGGTACATTGATTTCTGCCTCCTCCATCATAAAAAGTAATATTAAGTGCTGTTCATTTTGTGTTATTTTCCTGATTGATTACATCCGCTTTTATCCATGTACTGAGATCTATAGTTCCTTGCCAAATTCATCAAAGTTCCCCGCCCTCCTCACTTGCAGCAGGTGACTGCGAGTAATTCCGCTCTAACCAATAGCAAGTTTGCAAGCCACTGCTAAGCAGTTCCAACCACTCAGATTTAAACTACTGTCTGCCTCCTCCTCTTCTTCTTCTTCACCCCCGTGCCAGTGTTCAATGCAGACATCGTTCCATTCACACTAGTGTAGTCTTAGAAACATTTCCCCCTACTGACTGCCGGTGCAAGTGTAGAAATGTTACCTGTAGATACATCAACCATACCTACGATGGTCCAAAAGCCTGCGACTCTTTTGGGAAATAAACTTTTTCAGGTAAACTCACTCCAGTTTCTTTATTCTCTTCATCCTCGTCGGCATCAGCTATTTTTCTCGTCTTGTTGATGTCATTCAAATTGAACCCATTCTTCATTTGTTCATTCACTGATAGCTTCTTTGCCTGCCCCCCACACCCCTGAGAGGACGCTTTGTCCTCTTACACTTACCGCTGCATTTCTGCCAGGCTTTGTTTTTGTTATTAAAACTCTTTTTTTTTTTTTTCCATGATTACCAATCTCTTCATAAATCCAGCCAAGTGTTCGGTGTTATTTGACAATAACTTGTGATGTTTGTTGCTAGTCATTTCCAAAATTCCCCAGAATTGTACGCATCCTTTCATTCTTATGCCATCCTTTCCCTCTTCTTGATGATATATTGTTAAACCTACACACACAACTGCTGAATGACTTGCTGTCTATTATTGAAAAGAAACTTTTTCTATGTCATTCTGATTAAATCCATCAGCAGCATTCATTATACACGGTTAATCACCTCCCCACACCACCAAAAAAAATCCTCTTAGGTTAGACAGTGATGAAAATCGTGTACAGTGATTAAATCCCTGGCAACAATTACTTAAATCTTTCTCATAGGTAATTATCAAAAAGCTCTAAAACGTTTTCCTAATTTACACTAAATCTTTTAATAATTTTAATTCCATCCTTCCTCAGTATTATAGTTGCTCTAAATATATTAATAAAACTATTGTGGTGTATTTCTTTTATGTTTTTTTTTTTCCATAGAGAATTCTATGATTTTCATTTTTTTACTCTTTCCGCCATTCAGTTGTCATCAGGGTTTTCTATTTCATAATTTTATGACATCATTTTTTTATCTTTTTATTTTCTTATATTTTTCTTTTTTTCTTTTTTTTATATTTTGCCATATCTAAAAATGTTCACTTGCTTTATTTTCACTTCAAATCACTCTGGCTTGGTTAGAATTAAAATGGAAATTTTTAAAAGTTTTCTCAAACTAAATTCTTTATCTTGAAAATTTGTGAATCCATTAAATTTGAGTTCTTCTCAACTGTTAAAATATTTCTATCGATGCATCATTTGTTTTTGCTTATTGTTTATTGTTTACACTGCTACTGGAATTACTTTGATGTCTTCTCTTTCTGTTGGAATAAATCATAAAAACTGAAGAATATTTTAATTTGCTTTTTTTAGTTAAAATTACAAGCATTAAGATTTGAAAAGAAAGATTTCTAACTTTTTAAACATGTTCACATTCCCTGCATAAAACTTATAATTTACTTGTATTTTTCATATTTAAATTTACATTAAGTCAGTAAAAGAATTTCTCTTTTTCCCTTGATTTTCTATTCTTTTGCAAGAGTCAATTTTCCTAAAATCTGCCCCACCACTTCTCGGTTTTATGCTCTACCATTTCTCTCCTGCTATTTTTATTGTTGCAACAAAGTAGTTAT